CCTGAACTGCACGATGACTCTGTTGACTGTCGAAAGCGGGATCCCGAAATTCTGCGAAATTTGCCGCTGACTTATTCCACCATCTGCTTGACCAACTATCCTTCCTCTAACAAAATCTGACAATTCGAAAGAACCTTGAGTCCTAGGCATGTTGTAGCACAAGATAATTAGTGTGCGGACCATTTTCATTTATATAGTGCTCTGTGAACACAAATTAGGTAGCATAAATCAGTTAAATGACGAAAAATTAGGTGTCTATTTACTTGTGACTACTCAATGTACATTTAATATTTCATTTAATAATTTCAAAGTTAGAGCCCCCTTTTTCACCACCAGCGTAATATACACAAACACAATGCCTTAAATACAACGCAAACAAGATAGTAGGGATGTCATTTGCATCGTCCTTACATAATAGCACAGGCACACAGTAGTAGAATGTTAAAAGACAAAAATAGGGTAAATTAAACTCAATTGTGATTGAGTAGTTATATATATTGCTATATGTTAATTACTGTCTATGCTACTGTGAAAGAATTATGCTAGTACCATCCTTACTATTTTGTTTGTATTGTTTTTGAAGGACTGATATTAGCCATTCCTACATTTACTTCCTTCTTTGCGCTCTAATACCAAGAAAAGTTATCTCTATAGCATATGCTACAATGGAAGAGTAGTTAGATGCAAAATAATCCAGACAAAATCGTTCATCGACAGCAATGGCTATCACACCAGCCTGCCTTTTGGAACATTCCAGTTTTTCTCGAGAAGTCCATATTTTCACAATTCTCGGACAGCAGAAGCACCTTGATTTGGCAAGTATTCTTCCCGAAACTTTCCTCGAACCGTCTGCAACCATGACAAATACGAATATGGTTCTTCTATAGTCTGGGTATAATTTTGCAGCTGGAAGTACGAATGGATAAATCACAGGTCTCGAGTAAGGTCTTCTACTTGTCTATGCCAATGACCAATGTACCCAAAAGACATACTAAAAGATTTTGAACAGGCAAATCAGGAAGTCACGTGATAACAACAGCCAATATAATGTCGCTGTGGAACGTAATGTATCACAACTACATTTTGGCATTGTCTATAGCTGGGTAGTGTGATGCCATCGATAAATGATCACTTTTGGAAATGGTATGTAACAGCTTTTTCTGACCCAAAGGTTTGTTCAGATTGGGGAGTTAGCATTTTTAAGACGTGAATATCCTTTCCATTTAATGGTATTGGAAAACAAAAGTATATGGACCAACTTGGAGAACCAAGACCAACCAAAGAGAGTCCTGCTACAAGTCGTACTCCAGCCGTGGTAAGCGAAATGTGGCGTCTTGTAAGATGTAAGGATCCACGAACACAATGGTCAATTGCAAAATTCTTCCAGTTGTTCTAGACAAACATACTTTATGCCCAAGCTGCAAACTTGAGTACATTGATTCTACCTCCAGGAGGCTTCAGCCGAGAAACAAAGAATATTAGAGGTCAAAAACTCTGTATCTCGCTATCATCGGCAAGCACAAGTTGGAATGCAGTGATATTCAGCCATCCAAACAGCATTCGGAAGTTATTTTAAAAGCTAGCAATGAAAGTGACCTACGCAAGTTGGAAGCCACTGCCGTTCGACTATAAAAAACCAGCGTTCAACAATAAAGAAGACTTTGTATTTGGGAAACATATATTTTAAATTGTCGTGTACTTTAAGCAGCTGGCAATTGAAACGAGCATTCGTGCTATTTCACACAAAGAAATTCCGGCCAAGTTACCAAATGTAGCGCCTATGGATTTCGTTGTGATAGGACTGTTGAAATGATTGCTGGAAAAAGGTAGTCCTTGTACACTGAGTAGATTATGGAAATAATGTTGGTAGCAGTGATGTGCTTTTGACAAGACAACCTTAAAGCGGAGACTTTTGCAGTGGAAACTATATTGTAGATTATGGAAAGAATGTTGGTAGCAGTGGTGTGCTTTTGACAAAACAACCTTATAGCGGAGACTTTTGCAGTGGAAACTATATTGCAGGCTATTGTCAAATAGATGGCAGTCAGATAGAGCAAAACAAGATGTGACGACATGGACTATAACGACGTGGTGAGGCTCCACAATCGTTTTAATATAACATACTCAACTTCTGTAATACTTCAAAAGTAAGAAACTCTTAACTTGCTATATATTTATAAGTGCAAAAGAGAGCATTATTTTAACCACCTAAACACTGTTTGTTAAAAACAGTAACTCAAAAACAAAAGACCGTTGCTTTTCAACGTCAGAATATATGTTAGATATTACAAGCCATTAACAGCTCAAGAACAGTACAAACATTTAATAATCCAAAAGCTAGAGAACTTTTCTTTCCTCTGCCTGAATATACCTTAACTATTACACTTATTTCACACACCAAAAATAAAGAGATGCCCACTTTTCACACTCTGAACATACATTAAATATTTTAAATATTTTTTAAATTCAAGACATGAGAACCTTCATTATTACTGTCAAAATATACACAAAATTACACATTTTAATGCGTTAAAAGTAATAGACCACTTACTCTTCGCCTCTTCAATGTACATTAGATATTACACATATTTAATAGATCGAAAGCAAGAGAATCTTACTTTCATCATCTGTATACACATTAAGTATTGCAACTATTTAACAACTGAAAAACAAATTGCTCTTACTTTTAATCACCTGAACGTGCAATAGATACATCTAATATTTAACAACTTAGAAGAGACCCTTATATTTCACCTGCTGAATACAATTTAGATGTTACACATATTTAATATGTCAAAACAAGAGCCCTTTATAATTTTCACTATTTGAATATACACGTTTATTAGATATTACAAATGTTTGTAAGAACTCATGGTCGTTTAATGTCAATAGCAAGATACATGTATTCCTTGTTAAAGCTATGAGTGATTTTGTTTCTATAATTTCCCAAGTTCATTTACAATCTAAGATATTTCAGTGCTACAGATACACTAATTTAAGATAATCTGTTTCCTTTAGATATGTTAATTTCATTTAATTTTTGTTATTAATTTGAATTCGTGATGCGAATAAGAATATACCATTTCGCTAAGGGTTGCTATAGAACTATTATTCAGTTCTGAAGTTTACTTCTTAAAAGGATCTCTGCTATAATGTAAAGTCTCGGCGGATGGATTCGACATGTCCCTTCAACACTGATCTTCCTTCCTTAAAATTGTATTCCTCTTTTCAAAGAAACTTGTTACTTGTCTTGGCTTAACTGATGCTTGATGACGTCACGGTTGTTATGGCAACGTCAACGGTTTTAGGTACGGCAAGTGTTAGTCGTCAGAAACGAAAGAAAACAGAACCGATCCGAAGTTTGTTTATAAATAATTATACTAACCACCCGTTACGATTATGAAAACAGAACTCGTTCTTTCAAACCCAAGAAAAGAAAAGGTCCTCATTTATTGACGTATGCTTTCGTAAACGGTTATAAATTACTATTTTTTTTTGTACATAAATTGTTACATTTTTTCTCTTTAATTCCAAGGCTAAGTAGATCAAGTAAACCAAAACTGTTAGGTGTATTTAACTATGCTTAAGAAATTTGTTTATTTTAGTTAATTCAGAAGTATGTGGTAAGCCATCTTACCTTGTTTACTGTGGTATTTTAACACTCTATCTGAAAAAGAAACGGTAACTTATGTTAAAAAAAATTCTCTTTTTTTGTAATTTCTGAGAGTTTGTTATGATTATTACTGAAAAGGTTAGACTTAAAAATTTATTATAGCCACACTAAAGGATGCATAGTAAGATATTCTCATATATATAAAATAAATTTGGTTAAAAGACTAAGACTTGTAATATTGATTTAATTTATATGCAAACATATACATTATTATCATATTTAATATGTTTGTTTTATACTTATTTAGTCACCAGTACGTGTTAAAATAAATTACGTTTCTCCATATCGCGGTTGTCTCTAACATTTGAATTCTTCTTCTGCTCTGAACTTGTTGTTACAATGAAACATCTGATCACATTCTTGTGTTCCCATTTCTTGGGATGTAGACATTATTTTTGTCATTTAAAGTTAGGTTATGACGTCACCACAGAGCATGCTTACAACTGTTGCTATTATGTAAACATCTGGTCGCATTTTTGTTGTAATTTTTGGTATGTGGATATCATTTCTGTCATTAAGCATTAGGTTATGACGTCACCACATAGCATGCTTATAGCTTGTTATTATTATGAAAACATCTGGTCCCATGAACATATTACTTTTTTCATTTGGCATTAGATTATGAAGTCACCACAGAACATGCTTATAACTTGTTGTTAATATGAAAACATATGGCCGTATTGTAATGTTGCATTGTTTGGTAGGTGGAGACTAATCCTGTCACTTAGCATTAAATTATGATGTCACCACAGCTGAATGTAGTGACGTCAGACCTTAATTATATTTTTCTTGTTAGCCAATTTGGAGTATTAATCGTATAGAGACTGTTTTTACGTTTTCTTGCTTATTAAATCTCATGTAAAAGCTACGTAAGTTTTACTTGTAACATGCGGTTAGCACAAGCACACTCTTCTTAATCAAAGGCTCTGTGTTTTTAACATCAACCAATCACAAATAAACTTTGTAACTTTACATTCCTGATACTAATATTAAGCTCTCTAGAAATCAGTTTCTATCATAAATGACAAATATGTAATAAGAACAATTTTCCGTCGCAGCCTACTTATAAAGTAAACTGGCTGAACAACGAATTGGATGGAAGAATGAACTAATTAGCTATATGAATTATCAGATTAATATTATTAATCATCACAGTTCTTTCTGTTTTCTTCATTAGTTTCCTAAGCAAATTTCCATATGCAACCAAGTCATTTCAATTTTTTTAACGTAAGTATGATTTTAAATTTTGACACACTGTTTGTCACTGAAACTAGTTATTTCTAGGCGGAATATTCGGGGAAAGCATTTATGTCTATTTGTTTTTGTTCTTATAAACCTGTTTATACAGTAATGACCAAGTATTCTAGTATAAACCTGTTTATAGAGTAATGACCAAGTATTCTAGTATAAACCTGTTTGTACAGTAATGACCAAGTATTCTAGTATAAACCTGTTTATACAGTAATGACCAAGTATTCTAGTATAAACCTGTTTATACAGTAATGACCAAGTATTCTAGTATAAACCTGTTTGTACAGTAATGACCAAGTATTCTAGTATAAACCTGTTTGTACAGTAATGTGCAAGTATTCTAGTATAAACCTGTTTGTACAGTAATGTGCAAGTATTCTAGTATAAACCTGTTTGTACAGTAATGTGCAAGTATTCTAGTATAAACCTGTTTGTACAGTAATGTGCAAGTATTCTAGTATAAACCTGTTTGTACAGTAATGTGCAAATATTCTAGTATAAACCTGTTTGTACAGTAATGTGCAAGTATTCTAGTATAAACCTGTTTGTAAAGTAATGTGCAAGTATTCTAGTATAAACCTGTTTGTAAAGTAATGTGCAAATATTCTAGTAGAATTATGTGGGCATATAGTAACCTTTATTATTATTATTTATGTAGAATAGTTTGTTTGTTTGTTTGAAATTAAGCACAAAGCTACACAATGGGCTATCTGTGCTCTGCCCACCACGGGTATCGAAACCCGGTTTCTAGCGTTGTAAGTCCGCAGACATACCGCTGTGCCACTGGGGGGCATGTAGAATAGTAATAACCTCTTACTCCAAGATAAAAACGAATATCTCTTTTACTCAAGGTTAAGGCTATCTTTCGGTAGCACTGTAATAATGATATTTTATTTGGAGGTGATATTGATTGGCCAATGTAATAATATGTTACTCCTACAAAGATATAAATATAATAACCTTTTATTCATAAATAAAAGCATCATTATGTTTGTTATCATAATGTGTAACTCTTATAGAAGAGTGCATTTATACAGAAAAGTAATCCAATGTTGCTCCAATTTAGAGTTAACTTTCTCTAGAAATGCGGTAGCTTTTTTAACTTCAAGTTTTTGGTATCTTTAAGAAGCCTCCCAGTGGCACAGCGGTATGTCCGCGGAGTTACAACGCTAGAATCCGGGTTTCGATACCCGTGGTGGGCAGTGCACAGATAGTCCTTGTGTAGCTTTGTGCATAATTAAAAACAAACAAACAATCTTTAAGAAAAATGAATTGACTGTTTACTCCAAGATAAAAAGTATATTTATGGGAAATGTAATGATACTTTCTTCGGGATAAAAGAATGTTTATGTAAAATGTCATACTTCACATCAGTAATTTATACGTTACCTAGAAATTAAACCTGTCTTTGAGATAAAGATATTATGTAAATGCACTAGGTAATTTTATTTCAAAAATGTTGAGAACTTACAAGAGTACTATGACTTTAACAATACTAATCATATTAACTAGATTACAACAATGTAATACTGAACACTACTCAAGCGATAACGCAAGAAGCGGTTAAATACAAAATGTATTAAACAGTAAAATTGAACTGGTGGTCACTCATGGTAACTATGATTTTCTAATGCAAGATTTATAAAGGTTATATATAAGCGAGTGTGTGTATATATGCGATAATAACTTGATATGTATTTGTAAAATAATCACAAAAATCTCTTTAGTTCTTAAACTACTTTACTGGATTTCTAAAACAACCGTTCTACAGATCTCTCTTTAAATATATGGTGTCCGTACATTTTAACTACCGTATAAGATGGCAAAGAATTGGGTTTGTTTGGAATTTCGCGCAAAGCCACACGAGGGCTATTTGCGCTAGCCGTCCCTAATTTAGCAGTAAAAGACTAGAGGGAAGGCAGGTAGTCATTATCAACCAACGCCAACTCTTGGGCTACTCTTTTACCAATGAATAGTGGGATTGACCGTCACATTATAACGCCCTCACGGCTGAAAGGGCGAACATGTTTGGTGGGACGAAGATTCAAACCGCGATCTTCAGATTGCGAGTCAAGCGCCCTAACCACCAGTCCGTGTCAGGCCATGGTAAAGGAAAAATAGGTCTTATAACATAAGTCAGTATTGTTCGAAAGTGTGAAATTTCCTATTTAATTTAGAGTTATTCGTTTTCCCCTAAATTTTCTTACCAAATCAAATCCTTCGACCGAAAGTATTACTAGAAATACTGTAGCACTACAATCCTTACGGCCGTGTTGTTTAAACACTATTTAGTGATATAGTTTTCTGCATAGGAAAGAATGAAAATTTAAATTAAGGCACTTGATCTATTTCATTCACATTAAAAAACGTTCTATATCTTAAAAATTTCACGATCACAAGTAAATATAAATTTTAAAAACATTACAAAGAAGATTGTATAGACTATATAGGCTCCTTAAAACAAATTGAAATTTTAAAATCACAGGAAATATCGAATAAATTCAGAATCAAATAAAAAGGTTATTTTTGGAGCACTAATCCCCTGAGTCGGAAGTTAAATATCCCCATCTCATGAAGTAGATCTCACGTAGCCGTAGCAGAACTGCTCTTATTATATTGATCTTTTTAGCTTCTCAGAGAAGAACTTACAAAGTGCCACTTACAGAAACAACTTTCGAGTTTTTAAGGCTGGGATTGTGAGCAAATTGTATATTATTTATCATACATGAACAATGATTTATGAAGATGTGCCACGTAAACTTGAAACTGTTACGAGAAAGTGTTATTAACACCTTATCTACATAGATACCCAAATGTGACACAGATACGTATATGCGCTATTCTTTAAGATTAATAAGTAAAGGTTTGATAAGCTAGAACTCACCTTTTATTTGTTCCTCCATTTTCTTAATGACAACTTCGTTCGTTCGTGTTCAATTTCCATGAGATAAAGTACAAGAGAATTAGATCATCAATAACTGTTCCTGCTTATCTCAAACCGAGAATCCAAATATGTCTAAAAGTTTACCTGAAACAGAAGGCAGCACGAAATAAAACTATTTTTCGCTTCCTGATTACGTAGCATTAAGATTTCTGGATATTAAATTCCATGTATTATAAAGATGTTTGGATGCAAAAACAGGCACACGCTTCCAAGTGACATTGACGTGGCAATGACGTAGGACTACTACAGAGAACGACAGTTTTTTCGAGGGATTCTAAAATGCAGTGAAATAATGCAAGATGTCTTATTTTCTGTGACACACATTCGATAAGTTCGAATACTAACTTTTAATACGCACAACTGTTGTTTGATTAAAGTCGATCGGTTCTCACAGAAGTGAGATATGAACCCAACATTGGGACAAAGAACGCCGCCCTCTCTTCCTGGGGAGGGAGAAGCTGAAACAGGTACACCTCACCCTCTTTATACATAGACCACGGATGGTAGCTATATATAGCAACGCTATTTTGGTGCTTCGTCGCATAATCAAACTGTCCAAGACCTCTGTCCATGTACGCCCACGTCAGGGAAGTTCTATAAGAAATGAACCAACCCGGTACTTTATCGAATGAGAACGTCGAAAAATGAGTACCCTTCTCGGTCAGTCAAACGTACTTTGAATTGTCATAAAATACTTGCAAATTCTGTAAGGTGACTAAAGCAAAACAAGGGAAGATCTCTTTAGTAAAAAAAAGAGTACGAGAAACATTTGAAGTTAAATATAATAAACGCTTTGAAATGTCTACTAAGTTAAGGAATCTTTACAATGGAAAGCAAGTAAAAATAATTCCATCATAGATTTTTATTATAGTTTACTGCATTATGAAAATCCAATAAAACAAAAACAGTTTACTTTTTTTCGTTTTTGAAAACCTAATCCAACTGAGATTATATATAATAATGCACTAAAAACAAATATATATATATACGTATATGCTTAAAAAAAGACAAAGATAAGACACATTTCTCAGTTATATTGCAGAATTTGTTGTTAATTCACTTTGACTTTGACTTTGCTTTATGAATATAGAACGTTTGAATGCCACCTGAAACTCATTAAATTCTTATGGACATTGTTTTTTCTAAATATTATTATCAGCTACATTCTATCGCTTTACTAGATTGTTATCATTCATTGCCTGCTTGTTTGATAGCTATCTATGAGAAATAATTTTCTGAATATATTAAAAAACGTAAAATATTTGGATCATTTATCTACTTATTTAAAAGTTTTTCTCGTAATGAAAAATAAGAATTCGTTTTAGGGGCCATCTTTTTTTTGTCAAATTCCTTATTTTTTATTTTATTTTTTTGTAGTTAAGTACAAAAATACACAATGGGCTTTCTATGCTGTGTCCATTACGGGTATCGAAACTCAGTTGAAATTGTTATAAGTCCACAAACTTACCGCTGTGTTATCGGAGAACTTCCTTTATTCAATAGAAGAAACTGGTCACTATTGAGATATTTATTTATTATAAGCAAAGAACATACAGTATACAACGTTACTTCTGAATCTAATTAAATTATTTTCTAACTGTCGTTTTCGATGCTTAGTATAGACGAAACCAATTAAAGCAAATAACCCTTCTCCGTAGGTTAGTAAAGTCCTCGGTGTGATAATGGTAAGTCTACGGACTTAAAACGCAAAAAATCCGGTGTTCGATTTCCCGTGGTGGACAAAACATATAGCCCAATGTGGCTGTGCTCTAAAAATAAACGAACAAAATGTCAGTAAAAGTAATTTACAGACAACGCCATCTACTGCGTATTCGTACATTAATTTATTAAACATATGGAGCAAGTTATTTGCATGTATAATATACACATTATATTTTTTATTTCTTGTTATTTATATGCATTTATTGAACAGTTTCATATCAAGCTATCATTAACATCAAACTATCCTTAGTATTTCAAAACTGTACACCCTGGCTGTATATTACACGGCATTACTAAGTTAGATTAGATTTCATCAACGAATATACGATCCCTCCTTAGTCCTTGAAATAGACACTTGAAAATGAGACCATCTTGACGACAATAGAAGCTGAACGTTGTCCTTTTTAGGTTCAACAATTACGAAGATCACCAGACTTTGTATTCTACATCTTTTTATTTTCTGTTTACCCCCCAGTGGCACAGCGGTATGTCTGCGGACTTACAACGCTAGAAACCGGGTTTCGATACCCGTTGTGGGCAGAGCACAGATAGCCCTTGTGTAGCTTTGTGCATAATTAAAAACAAACAAACAATTTTCTGTTTCTAAATTAAAGATAGAATGATTTAAAATATCATAGTCTAAAATTTCATTCTTTACTGTAATAACGCTACGCGTTATTTAGTCAGTTGAAGAATGCATTTCGGAATAATTTTTACTGCCTCCTTTGATAGAAGTAGAGCAATCTACAGCGCGTGTCTGTGTGTGAATCTGTGTATACTAAGCAGGGAACTAATTGTACACACGATAATAAGAGAGTAAAAACATTTAGTTTTATAATCAGCTTACTATGATTTTGCTAGAAACGTTTCCATTATCAGTATTAAAATAACCAATCACTTGTATACAAACATCTAATATTGTACCTCAGAGGTCGGAATGCGTTCATCTTAACCGCTATATTCTGAGCACACATTTTCTTTATTGGTTTATTTCATTGGTCGACTTATTGGACTAATCCAGCACAATTTGCTTATGTTAAGTAATCCTCTCATCCCATTACTCAGTTTACAGGCATGTAATTATTCTTGGACCTAAAGTAAGTAAATTGAATTTCAGACATTGAGAAAATCTCTCTCTTCCAGTGTTTTTACAGAAAAAGAAACGATCAACGTTAATTACTTTATACAATAATAAAAGGTCTGCCTTATTTACTAAATCTAAGATTTTAATTAAAGTATCGTTGCATAATTGCCAGTTAGCTTTTCGATTAATAAAATAAAAACACCTTTATAACTTCGCACTTCTATATTTTGCAAAACATAAGAAAGCCCTGAATGTATGAAACTGATATTCCAAATAAACAGAATTATAGCAAGGTGTTGAAACCTTGTTTGTTACCATGTGCATGTGTACCGTAGCATGAGATAACGGTGTTGGTTATCCTTGTTCACTGTAATCTATAGAGTAGTGAAGTATGGTGTTTGTAACCTTGTTTGTTGCCATATATATGTGTAACGTAGTATGGTGTTTGTAACCTTGTTTGTTGCCATATATATGTGTAACTTAGTATGGCGTTTGTAACCTTGTTTGTTGCCATACATATGTGTAACTTAGTATGGCGTTTGTAACCTCGTTTGTTGCTATATATATGTGTAACTTAGTATGATGTTTGTAACCTCGTTTGTTGCTATATATATGTGTAACTTAGTATGATGTTTGTAACCTCGTTTGTTGCTATATGTATGTGTAACTTAGTATGGTATTTGTAACCTTGTTTGTTGCTATATGTATGTGTAACTTAGTATGATGTTTGTAACCTTGTTTGTTGCTATATGTATGTGTAACTTAGTCTGATGTTTGTAACTTTGTTTGTTGCCATATATATGTGTAACTTAGTATGATGTTTGTAACTTTGTTTGTTGCCATATATATGTGTAACTTAGTATGGTGTTTGTAACCTTGTTTGTTGCCATATATATGTGTAACTTAGTATGATGCCATACTAAGTTACACATATATATGGCAACAAACAAAGTTACAAACATCATACTAAGTTACACATATATATAGCAACAAACGAGGTTACAAACATCATACTAAGTTACACATACATATAGCAACAAACAAGGTTACAAACATCATACTAAGTTACACATACATATAGCAACAAACAAGGTTACAAATGTTTGTAACCTTGTTTGTTGCTATATGGGCAACAAACAAGGTTACAAACATCATACTAAGTTACACATACATATAGCAACAAACAAGGTTACAAACATCACACTAAGTTACATGTATATATGGCAACAAACAAGGTTACAAACACCATACCAGGGTACACATACCCATACTAAGTTACATATATATATGGCAACAAACAAGGTTACAAACATCATACTAAGTTCACATATATATGAAAACAAACAAGGTTACAAACACCATACTACGTTACACATATATATGGCAACAAACAAGGTTACAAACATCATACTAAGTTACACATATTTATGGCAACAAACAAGGTTACAAACACCATACTAAGTTACACATACATATAGCAAAAAACAAGGCTACAAACATCATACTAAGTTACACATATATATGGCAACAAACTAGGTTACAAACACCATACTACGTCACACACATATATATATAACTGTGGTTATCTTTGTTCACTGTAATCTACGTACACTATAACGTAGCATGAGATCACGGTGGTGGTTACCCTTGTTCACCGTAAAGTACATTGTAACGTAGAGGGGGTGGGATATTAACGCCTCTATAGATATAACTCAAAATGTATGTTAATTTTAACATCTCGAAAAAGATAGTATTTCTCTTCATTATCTTCGTATCTTTTATGTATTGTTTCTCAACTATAGACAATTAACTTAGAAGATCAAAATGTCTCACATGTAAATAAAATTAGACATGTGGGAATGATAAAATACCCTAATTAGAGAGGTATCTGAAGTAAGCGTAGTGGGGATACATAGCCTATAAGGGTTACAAGCTTCGTTTGTGAAATAAGATTATAATTAAAATTATAACTTAAAACTTTGTATCAGGTATTCATGCCCAGTCTTATAAGGTTACAACGTTCCGTAAATAAAACTACTATCTATAAACAAATATGGGAAAGTCGGTGATTCTAAAAAAAGAAAAGAGAATAGCAAAGGAAAATAATTAAGATAATGATAATAATTAATATCTACTAAAAAAGAGATCACTGTACGACTGTTCTCTTATTGAACCTATGGTCAAACCATATTATGAATTAAACAATCTAACAAAGAGTGTGATGAAAATAATGTTGCAAATACCCTAAAAAATGTTCAAATGTGACTTTTTGACTAATAAACACACATGCATCTAGCTTGTTTTAAAGGAAAGAATTATTATTTTTACAATTTTGAGGTTACCATGCTGAAATGATAAAATTCAAAGTTGTTCTACCGAAGAGTTTTAAGCCTAATGTCGCGATTTTGTGGTTGGTTAACGCTACCATCTTTATTACACGAGTTATCGATTCTTACAGAACGTAGAATTATCCATTTTAAACACAACTTTCGTTCTATAAAGAAGAATTTTTCTCTTCACGAAAAAAAATATTCGATAAATTTATGTAACTGTACATTAAATAATATCAATTTATGGAAAAGGCTCAGTTACAGAA